AGAAGACTTTAACAACTGAACCTAAAATATTAATTATGAAAACAACAGTCATTTTTTATAATAAAAACAAAAAAAGCAGATAGTACTTAAGTTTTCGGGTAAATGACGTCAGATCATGCATAAATGTATTTTTTTTTTTTTTAAGGTAATGGTTCAAATCTGATTTCTTATAAATTTATTAAAAAAACAAAACAAAAAAAGATGAGTCTTAATGTTGCTAAAAAATCTCCCACCTTTGCAAAAGAAGTATTTTTTTTTTTGAACATTTTGACACGATACGAGTTCAAAACCCGTCCAGAAAAGAAAGAAATGCACCTAACAAGCTGACTAATACCAGTGGACCTATAGCCCAGATGCCTTTGCAAAAGAAGTATTATTATTTCTTTACTTTTGAAAATTTTATAAAAATTTCTGAACTTTGGAGAAAGCAAAAGGTGTCATTGTTATTTCTTTACTTTTTGAAAAATTCATAAAGATTCCTGGACTTTAGAGAAAGAGGCGAGCATGATCCTTCCCCTTGATAGACATCATAACGTGGTCCAGCCTTCAATTAAAATTCTCTAAATTTTAATGGTAAAATTTACTTTCCATTTCCATGCACTTTGATACTCAAACTTTATATTTATTCAATTTGTCTTATGATTTCAAATTTTGATTATAATTTAGTCCCCAAGCTTTTGTAAAAGTTGCACTGAAGTTTCAAATTTTCTAATTTCATTCAACTCATTCAAATATTAGTAAAATCAAGCCTAAAATAGTAAACTAAAATATATAAAAATTCATTTCATCAAAGTGCAAAATTGAGTCTCCCACTTGTCTCAAAAAAGTCTTTGATACCTAATTTAGAATCATATAAAGTGTTACAATTAAAATAGTGAAGTTGTAAAGAATGTAGATATAATTTGTGAGTGTGAAGTAAATAGAGTCATGCAAACATTATAAACTAACAATAACTTTGGGTGCTACTTCTATGGTATCAAGTGTATAAGTTACAACAATGAAAAAAATTCAAGCATATCTCTTTTGTACCCTTTTTTTATTATAATGTTGTTCTTTTTTGTCTCTTTTCTTTTATTTTTTAATTTTATGTAATTCAAATTATAAAATAAAATTTTAAAAAAATCAAACTTTTTTCAGTCAACCCAAGAAATTATTGACAAAAATATACTCAACCCAATAAATTATTGACAAAAATACACTTTCCTATAACTTTTATACTCACTCAATCGTGAACTCTGAGTGCTAAATTTAAAAGTTGATCTATTTTAATAAAAATTTTAAAATTTAATTAAGAAATTGAGATAAATTTAGGGCTTATGTGCATGTGGGGATGAGTCCCAAACGGCAGTTAAGTTGGGGTAAGAAGAAGGGCTTAATTGCTTTGATCCCCGAGTTCAAGGGCTTATATGCATCAATTACAGTCTAGGGGCTTAATAGCGATTCTGGGGTTGGTTCAGGGGCTTAACTTATGGTTTTGCCTCTGTTTTTTGCCGCCACCTAAAACGTGAAAGTGTCAGAATAAAGTAATGAAATGAAATTACAAAAAGACGGCAAAAGTTGAGTGAGAAAGAACAAGTGTCGATTTAACGAAGGTTGATTCTGAAAACAAAACACTGATTCTTAGTACACGTTCTGACACATCCCCACATGCACTTAACCAAATCTATCCCCGCCAATCCTTAGCAGACAGGCCACCGCCACCGCCACCGCCACCGCTCTCATGGTCTCAACAAAGCGGGATGGCAGCGGAAGACCCAGGAACCCGAACCCAATCCGGAGGCTTCTCGGGTGTGGTTTCTGGGTACAGGGCTTCCGGTGCTTTCCGTGGATGGCTGTTAATTTCTTCTTGAAGGATGGTCTCAATGTCGACCCTTCCACTCTTCAGATCCTTCAGAACTCAGTTAATCTGCCCATGGTCGGCAAGCCCCTCTACGGCATCATCTCCGATTCCGTTTACATTTCCGGCCAGCACCGCCTTCCTTATATCGCCATCGGAGGTGAAAATGCCTTTACTTCCTCAGTTTTGTTGGGTTTCATATTCATTGCGTTTTCTTTTTCTCTCTGCTCTTGATTTCTGTTAATTGTTTTTTTCCCTGAATTTGGGACCTTTTGTTATTACTTATTATTCTTTATTTCTGTTTTCATTTGAAAAAGAAACTGAATCCAATTAAGAAAATGTCTCCTTGATCTTCCTAAGAGGAAAATTCTCCAATATAAAAATAAAAATCGTTTCTGGTTTTAGTTTTCAAATTTTGATTTTTAAAATTTCTGGAAGTGATTAGCAATCACCTGTTGGTCAAATGGAAGGAGCTTGGTTCTAATTAAATAAGTTCTCAAATTCGAGTCATGTGAATAGTAATTAAATAAGGTATTGAATTCAAGTCGTGTGAATAAAGAGAAAAGCACTATGAGAGATTTCTGGTATCTAGAGGCTAGATACAGGAGGGTTTAGTGGAAAAAAAATACAAACTGAGTAGTTTGTTGGTTTTGGAAAATGTGAAATATGTTTGATCTTCACAAACAATTTAATTTGTCTTGATTTAACTTTTTTTCATTTTTTGGATAGTGTTTTGATTAAACTTGTAAAATATAAACCATGTAGGGTAATTCATTTGATTCTCTATTTACATGATTATTTCTTCTTTTGGATCTCAAAATAGCAAGTTCCATCATGAGTAATGATGTGTTGAATAGGAATACAGTTAGGGCTTGAAAATATAATATGAGGTTGATTCATACGCAATGTCATATCATCAAACTAGTGAATGCATATAGATTTAGCGTATCATAATTCCTGCCAATGAGTATATTAAGATTTCATTGTAAGAAATATCGTGTGAATAATTTTCCAATGTAATCTTTTACTGAAAAAAATCATGTAATCACTTTTTTCTATATCTTTGTAATCTTTAGGAAGAAAATTTTTTGATGTTGCTGTATAATATGATATCCCTTTTGGAGGTTTGAAGTTTATTTAGGCAGAAATAACAGAAAGAAGAGTCTGCTGAATGCCATTTCTCTGTTCTGCTTTTCTATAAGAATCTGTGAGAAAAGTAAATGCAGGAGAGATGCGGTCCTTCAGAACTCTCTTTTTTTCTTTTTTTCTTTCTCTTTTCTTTTTTTCTATGGTGTAATTTCTTTCTTACCTTCTTTGTTTTTGCTTAATATATATTTTATGAAAAGCAGGACTTTTTAAAACTAGTTAATTGATATGTTATTATGCTTTTCATTGGATTTGTGTTTTTCATGTGGTGTTCTGCCATTAAAACTCCTTACTCAGTTAAATTAGTTGGCTGGATGGACAAACATATTCATTGTATTCTGAAACCCAATGCTTACACGTTCAGAATAGGTGGCGTTGGTTGCTTTTGTTTAATTCTGTCACCCCTACTTACTTAGTCCCTGGTCTCAACATAGCTACTCATACACTTGGCTTTTGGCTGCAACTATAATTTGATTTCTTAGAGTTTGATTAGCCAAAGCATATATGCTGGATAGTTAGATTCTTTTGACTGTTCTGATTTCTGGGGAGATTTATTTTTTCTGTGTATGTTAATTCTCAACTAATATGAAAGAAGTAATTATTTCTTGTGGATTTGTGCATTGGAGATTATTATAGTGATAAGATAAAAGAAACAGCCATTTACACCCGTAGTGGGAAAGCAACCACTTAAATGGTAAAAAATCTTGCAGGATCTAAACTTATAAAAGCAGTGCTTGGAATTAGAATTTAAAAAGTCTTTTTAATGCCTGGCTATTGAGCCATTTCACTAATTTCCTTCATGATGGTTTTTCCTGTACACTGTTATTAAAAAATTTTGCATTATTATTTTAGATGAATAAGAAATTTTCTATACTGTCATGAACTTAACTATGATTTAAGAAATGATGTGCATCTCTCTCTATTTGATCTGAATTGTCCTCATCTATTAATGCTCAACTCATTAATTTATCTATCTGTTTGTTTGAGTTCAGCACATCTTTTGTTCTAGTTTCTATATAATTCATATTTTTCACTTCTTTCTAATTGATTCCCCTCATTTGTTGTTGCAGCTTTCTTGCAAGCAGTATCGTGGATAGCTATAGCAATCTTATCAAAATCCAGCATTTCAATCTCAACCATGAGTCTTTATCTTCTCCTCAGTAACCTTGGAGCTTCAATAGCTGAGGTTGCAAATGATGCCATTGTTGCAGAATTAGGAAAACCGCCTACTTCCTCTCCTCAGAAGTCTCAATCATCTTCTTCAGGTGAGCTTCATTCATTTGTTTGGATGGCTTCCTCTGCTGGTGGGGCCCTAGGAAACCTGCTGGTTGGCATTGCCATAGACAGATTTTCCCAACAATCAATGTTCCTCTTCTTTGGTCTTCTTCTTGCTTTCCAGTTCTTCATAACTATTTCTGTTCGTGAAAGTTCTCTTAACCTCCCCAGAAGTTCATCAAATAAAGGGATCAGAAAGCAGCTTTCAGAACTTGCAGTTGCACTGAGAAAACCAGAGATTGCATACTCAATTGCCTGGTTTGCAGCATCATATGCCATAATTCCAGCACTAACAGGAACCATGTTCTTCTACCAAACACAGTACTTGAAGATTGATGCCTCTATATTGGGAATCTCTAAAGTATTTGGGCAAGTAGCCATGCTTTTATGGGGCATCATCTATAATCACCAGTTAAAGTCAGTCCCACCAAGGAAGCTAATTGCAGCCATTCAGGCAACAATGGCAGTATTCATGATTTCTGATATGTTATTTGTTGAAGGAATTTATCGAGAGATGGGGGTGCCAGACTCAATCTATATCGTGGTTTTCTCAGGCCTTTTAGAGGTTTTGTTCTTCTTCAAGATTCTTCCATTCAGTGTTCTAATGGCACAGCTATGCCCTCCGGGATGTGAAGGGTCTCTAATGGCATTTCTCATGTCAGCTATAGCCCTTGCACTCATAGTGAGTGGATATCTTGGAGTAGCTCTGGGATCCTACATGGGAGTCACAGGAAATGATTTTTCAGGGTTTCCACGTGGCCTTCTAACACAGGCAATTTGTACCCTTTTGCCCCTCTTATGCTCATCATGGATACCTGATTATGCGATCACCAAAACCAGAACAGATTAGAAGCAACAGTAGTTGTGTTTCAAGAAGATTGTAAGTTCTAAAATGGAAAGTACTCTCTTATCATCATAATTATAGAATATCAGGTTTTTATTTTTATTTTTCTTACTACAATGTTAATTCATTTTATGTTATTATAGTTAATTAACAAATATATTTTATCATAGGATGGATGGATTTCCAAAGAGAGCGTTCTTTCCGTTGGATTTTCAGTGATTATAGTTGAAAGGAGTATCTTAATATTCAGGAAAGCTGTGAGCTGTAGAGTTGTGGTTAGCAGTCAGAATATTTTTTTCGGAGTTAAGAGGGCCTCTTTTTTTTTTTTTACATGAGGAATCATTGGAGAAGGGGGATATTTTTTTAGCAGTTGGTAGCAGGTGAACTCTTGAGACTCCCACTAAATGAACTTAAGCACTAAGGTTTCGGATGAACCATTAGGTTGGAAAGATCGATTCAATTAAGAAGGTTTATTTATTTATTATATTTTTTTTAAAACAAATTTGTAAAGAATCAGATTTAAATTATTGTTTAAGAGAAAGAAGATGCGTTTTAACGTGGCTTAACGTCATTGGACCGAACCGAAAGATTCAATGGCAATTAAAAAGGTCTATTTAGTTACTAAAGAACTTGGGAAGAATATCTTGGGAAACCAACATTGACAACCTAGCTGGCTACAATAAGGATTTTCACTTCTGTA